GAACTATTGTCGCATTCTCTCCGGCTGAATCGTTTCCCTCGACCTGTGTGTCCCTGCACACTCGAAAGAGAAACGGGTGAAGGTTCGTAGTGGAGTGCAGCGCGTGTTCTAGTCATTGAGTCGTGAGCGGCGATCACGAACGTTCAGAACATTTCCGCAGCCGAGGATTTAAACGTCTGGCTCGGCCTTGCTCCGCCGCGCCGCGGTCACCAGCGACGCCCGCGGCGTCTTCCTGCACTTGCACTGCTTCCTCGCCCCACCCCTCATCCTCGCACCATTTCAACTGTGTGAACGTCTATTCCTCGCGCTGCTTACATTTTCATTATCGATTATCTCATTCAGACAATCATCTATTTCATCCACATCACTTCCTCTCTCTATTCTCTTGCCGCAATTTTCTGTTCATCAAAAGTGCCAAACATTCCATCTTATAAGAATCCTTCAAAAACTGAAAGAGTGATACCACAAGAATAGCTTTCGTAAATCCCCTTCAACTTTTCAGAACAATGTAGAACTCATTGGCACCGTTTTATCTGCACACGAGAGTACATACCTTAATAGTGGAACGGACGAGTAAAACATGACAATAACGAAATTATAAATTTCGGTACTATGATTTCGTTAACTGCCCTATGGATAGTTCGCAAAAGAACTACAGAATGTTTCAGAATAAACGTTACAAACTTCAGTGCTGTATAGAGGTGTCGAAGATGTTTACTTTTTGCCAATGATCATGTCGGAAATTTCACTTAACAAAGTTACACATGATTATGGCACTAGCCCCTGTATGTTAGCTAAGTTCCCATACATCAGTTTTTAGTATTGAACTGAATTGAATATGCCTTATTTTAGGTGGCGAGACTAGTAGTAGCGAGGTTAGTAGACCACTTTCTTCTAACGCAGTCGAAGAGATTTTGTGCATCTGCCAAAAACTGGACTAACATATTTGCCAAACAATAAGGGGCAAATATCATATTGTATCTTAGTAAAAAAGAATTTCCGATCATATGTTACATGGCAAAAAGTTGTCCTCTTCGATCCTTCGACAAGAAGGGAGAAAGTTTGTAATTGTTATTGTGAGGTGTATAAGATATATCTACCGACTAGTGCGATATACTCCACGCCGTTTGAAAACAGCTATGTAGTGAACAATGTCGAGCTTAATTACTTTCGCGCCAAGTGACAAGGATACACGCGCCTTTTCATACGCCGTCGGCTGAAGCAGGGAACGGAAGTGCCGGTTAATGACGAAGGGGAGTCAGGAGTCCGAGAGAACAAAACGCAAGATATAACACCATCGTCTTTATTGCTCACGCACGTACATTCTAAGCCGTAAACAAACACTCCGTCACAGCCGCTCCAAAACGTCGGCGGTAAGGATGTACCTTGAAAACGTAGCATTTCATTATCGCTGCAGTAATACAAACCACAGCGCGGCGCACCCAATCGACCTGCCGTGCTGCGACATTATGTTACGTTTCGGTTTGCTGCAGCTGACATGCCGATCGTGTTTTCGGCGTTTTTATACACCCAACGCCGATAAAATCCCCTTTACGTATGGCGCATACAATACTTCCTTCCGTGTGCGGGTAAAGTGGTACACCTTGTAATGTTGTTGACCAATGCCTGAGAAAATTTAAGTAATATTTTGGGCTCATTAAAAAGTATGGAAGAATCGGAATGAACAAGCAGTCTGCCCTTGAAATCTCCATAAAACCTGCTGGAGGATTCCTAAGGCGCGGTCGTTGGGTCTGGAGGAGCTCCAAGAACGCCGTGTGCTGGGTGGTGTGGGTCGGTTCGATTGCCCGGAGGTCCTGCGGGAGGCTGCCAAAGGACTGTGGGCGGCGGCGGCGGCGGCGGCGGATGGACGATGAGGCTGTGGGCGTTGGGCGACGTCCTGTGGCTGTCGCCAGCGGCAATGGACGACGCCTGGCTCGATGCCCACGCGCGCTGGATAAATTATCGAAAATATGAAGGGAGGAAAGCAGGTGGAGTCGTGTTGTCGTTGCGTCACAACGCAGGTGTGCCTCCTCTACTCGTGCTTGTTTTGATCGTTTTGTTTTCCGTTGCATTAGGTCCGTTCACAGCCATCTATCGTGATTCCGGTGGCAAATTATTGATTTAACTTGAGTGTAAGGAGATGCTGTGATATTTTGCGTGACTTGGAAATGGGTGGACAAGGCAATGTCAAGTGAAATTTCATATTTGCTGGGAATTACTAGCTAAACTGGAATTACTAGCTCATCTGCTTTAGTTTTTGTACAAGTCTACACTATAATTTACTTGCGAATTTCTGATTAATCACACCAAATATCAAATTTTCGAAAATATGAAATCTGGGTCACATTTGGGTGAAGGGTCAAAGAATCAAAAAGGTTAATAATTGCGAGTCTAAATATAATTCTTCTCCAAGACTTAAATTAAACAATTTTTAGTGGCTACACTGGTCCGACGCAAAGTGTATTCAAGAGTAAAAAGAATAGCAGAAAGTGTGAGAACACGTACCAACATAATTCATCATCTACTTGTTTCTCCAACGATATTATTTCTCCCTCCATTCCCCCAGAAATTAAACTGCAGCCGGAAAACGAAACAGGAAGACCTCCCCTGCTGTGAGTGAACTGTGCTAGCTAGACCGGAACCGAATTTGCAAGAGCGTAGCGCTCGCTCGCACCTCGCGGCGAGCGGCGGCCGGCGCGGCGCGCCGGAGTCGAAGGCCGTGCCCGAGGTGTAGCAAGCGCCCCGACCGGACGGTGGGGTCGCGGACGTCACGTGCGGGTTCGCATTCTTTTTTCTTTTTTTGGCCGGCAGCCGCCGCCTGTAGGAGGCGATCGCCCCTGCGCGCCAAGTGTGACGGGCGATCGCTGACTCCGCCAGTTGCAGCGAATCGCGATTTTGCGCTCCGGGCAACTCAACGCGCCTTCCAACTACTCTGCCTGCGGTCTCTGCGGAAGGATGGCTCTGGGAGCCTGCAAGGGAACTTTCCAAGGACTAACGTGTTTACGTAGACTCTTTGCAACTTATTAAATGGTATTAAACAATAAGTCTTCATAATAATTGAGGTGTTGAGTTTAATCCCATTGGAATTAAACTGAGCTAGAAAGTTGTGGTCCAAAGTTTAAAGAATGCCTGTTGGGACCAAAGCTTTAAAAAAAAGGCGGAAGATTCCTGGAAGATAAAATAACGTCCAACTTATGTATACCAACTTGTGAAATAGACAGTATGTGGAGATGTATGATCGTTTGTGTTTGTGATTTTATGATCTAAATACATAGTACACGATTTTTTCTAATTCGCATTTTACTCGTATTTTCCTAGTGTGAAAAATTCATTCTAATTGAAAAGAAAAAATTCTAATTCCCGAATGCCTCAAGGCGAAGAAAACGACGTAGTATATATGTCGGAGTTGACTAGTATTTCCATACACTTTTATTGTGGGTGTTAGGTATCGCGTTTTATTTCTCTTTGTGTGTTTTACAGCGACGGAAAACTGGACCCTAATAGCTAAGAATAAGAATCGGGTCCCAGTTCAGTCTCGTTCGAGCCGCTGTGCAGAGTCTCACTGTAAGACTTTCTAGGCGTTTCAGAGAAAACCTGCAATATTTCTTTACGATGTGGTCAAGATCTGTGCTGAGACAATAATAATACAGAAACTGTCATCACCCCATAATTTGGAGAGAAAGGTAAGATCTCTGCACCAAGAGAGTTAGTGGGATTTTATGATGTCAGTTTGATGCTGTTTCGCTGGTATACTGAGGGGTTTCACTGGTTTTACTACACAATTGTACTAAAATAACTGTTATTAGATATTGCGAACCACTAGTATTTTCGAACTTGTCATGACAGAGCTTCATGAATGGACTTTCATGAATATATACGAAACCCAGCTTATTAATTTTTCGAAATGGAAGGACACTAACTCTATGTATTATTGTGAATTATTTATTTCAAAACGTATGATACACACATCAATATATTTGCACATCTTCAAATAAACAGTACTTTTACAGACGTGAAAGTTACGTTATGCTATCGAACGTTTTGTGTTCTGTTTTAATTCATTTTGGGAATTTCCTTATGAGACTATCAGTAAGGCTAGAGTTCTCGTATGCGACTTAAAGGCCCACGAGTTGAAGTGTCAGTGTCTTTGTGGCTGTCCGAGTGACTCCGCGTCGTTGGCTGAGAAGCCGACATTTTGCCTATCATGTTTCATACTTTCTCAGGGCAGTACAATACTCGTAGTGTCAGTATAAAGGTGTGTCCTGGCTCCCTTCTTTTAACCGGACTTATCGGTTATCATAGATGCGCGCTAGAGTGTCGCCTAGTTCCGAATATATGCCCAGAATGAGCTCGACAGTCTCATAGATGTGATTTAGGGAGGGAAGGCACGAATGCAGATGCTAGATGCATGGAATGGAGCCAAACATGTAAAACAGGAATGCATACATACATACCAACCAATCGGCTGACTCATAGGCAGTATGCTAGGTTTCCGTGTAGTGCCCGGGTACGATTTCCGGTCGGAACAAAAATAGAGCTGTATAGGTTTCTAATATAATCACCTCAGTTTCTGTAGCTATGTGGCGGAAGAAAAGTATAGACAGGCATACGTCATGCTCGCTTCATGTCTCTCTCTTACCCCCAGGCATAGTTAACAAATAAAAGCTGAACCCGGGCTGGGGAACACCTCTAGCTGGCAAAAGTCGGATGACAAAACACTAAACCTAAAATGACAAATCTCACTCGCCACATGTTGTACCTGTCTCCCTGAGTTTGCTCCTTGTTGCGTGTTCGCTCTGCCGCGATTCCTGTAGCGCGCGGTAAGTAGGTCAGTGCGCCTCGTGCGCTTATCATACTTCGCTCAATTGCTCTGGAGAAGTTAGCGTGCGTGGATGGCCCTCGCCACCCGCGGCCTCAGGCGCCGCTCGCCTCGAATGCTCGCTGCGCTATGCGAGTGTGTTTTGTCGATCGGTTGATGATGTGCCTTTTTTTTGTTGCAGGTGAGTACCAGCGCCAGCTGCTCGCAGGGTCTTGGACTGCACGTTGGCTCGTGGTCGGAGGTTTGAGATGTGAGTGACGCCATGGCATTGGCAGGCAGATTGATTTTGGTCAGAGGGAATTGTGCTGCCTTGATGAAGCTTTTTTATGGAATGCCATCGTGGTTAATAATGGCTCATCGAGGATTAGCTGACAAAATATATCCTGTATATCTTCGTAAATCAGTAATAGTTTCGTAACTATATTACGTCAGTTGTAGATTATTGATTGCAATATTCCAGAATAAAGGATCCGGCCCTGAAAGCTAGTCAAATAATTAAAAATGTCTTTAACACTAGAGTGATGTGGAGTTAAACATTCGACATATGTTCTAACATTTGAATATAAGCGATGTGAATGATTAATGAATTATTATACTCAACGTTTCTTCTATTTATCTCACACCGTGAAACAATTTTCTTCATTTGACACTAATATAACGATTTTTGGGAAAGTACGAGTATTTTCGAATACAAAGTAGTGTTTTCAAACTCCACGAGCCAGAAACTTCCACTGCCAATATTCACAGAACGTTTCGTGCTAACATTAATGTGTAATTATTTTATATTATGTTTATAGTGTAATGATTAATTCTCAGTATTAACGTTAATTTTGTGGTAGTAATATTTTGATGAAGTAAATAACATTTCGTTGAATATTAGTGTGTGGTTGGCATTTGTTGAACGTCGAAACATTTCAATAAAATATCCGAACGTGAATAGTTATATTAAATGCCCTCAGTTCGGTTAATTTACATTGTGATTTATTCTGTTTGATTTCCGGAATTGTTAAAGAGAGTAACAAAAACATGGCTTAACCACGCGTTGAAGTCTCCTTTCCCTTCGGTTAATTTTTTACATTTGTACGAACTGTTTGGATGGTACAGAAAAGTTACTTTCGTACCCTCCCCCTTTTTTAACAACTTAAGCACTTATACTACTCTCTTAATTGAACGTTCCATTTCAACCTACATACGTGCGCGCGCACATTCACACCCACACTCGTCGTGAGTGAAATCATAATACAACTTTGATTAATTTGACATTAATTTTTATTTTCAAGATAGTAATTCAATATGAATTACAAAACGAGATAAGGACTTCCATTATTCATCAAACACATCCCCCCATCCTCAAACACTTTAATCGCAATTATTGTGCTTCCTTAAAATGGAACATATTAATTGAATGGACCATTGTGTGCGAGAAAAGGCAGAAGGATACCGTGACATCACGGTAACAGTTATATCTTTCAGAAGCTCCGCACAAATAGTGGCAGGGGATGAGGCCCTAATCCGTGAGCCCGTCAATCCCGCGGACGTAAACAAGGGCGGCAGACGAGGCCCGACTGCGGAGCCGGACGCAGCGCTGCGCCGTACGTGCAACAACTTCCACTTTCGTGGAGTGCGACGAGCCAGTAATCACGTACTCTTCCTCTCCTTCGCTCCTTTTCCTTCTTACTTTGTCTCTTTCTGCGTCTCGCATCCCCTTCCTCCCTCTCCCTTTCTTTTTCTCTTAGTCCAGATCTCTGGATAGTAGATTAATCTCTTTCTTGATCTCTGCATCGCACGTCCTGGATTATGTGAAAACAATTGGTTCGATGGAAGGCGAAAAATTGATGTGGCGCCTGTTAAGAAACAATTTACTTGTTGCTCTGGAGATCGTCAAGCGAACGTGTTTGCTACTACTGATGATGGCGATTTAAATTTTTGATGAATAGGGAACCAAAGTTCAGATTGTCCATGACATTCATGGATGATATTGTGACATATTACATTTTCTGGACAGTCAAATAATTATAATAACTCTCTAGATAACGTACTCTCCTGTTATGAGTACTGTGAACGCGTTCTATGCATATATATATATATATATATATATATATATATACACATACATACATACATAGCATTTCGAAGATTTTGTTCTCACGTCTTTGCATGAGAAAGACATATCGTATATATAAGTTTGAGTAAATTAATGCTATTTCAAATTTAGATCAAGTTACTAGAATTACTGGTTGTGCATAGCGCGTCTGGCTGCTCTTATGACCCCGGTCGCTGGCGGCAGCTAAGTTTGGCAATGAGCGCAGGGCGTCTGTCTAGCGGCGACCTGTAGCGGGAAATCTGGCGCGGCAGTGCCCGCGAGGCCAGATGGGGCGAGGACGTCGACTGGTCTACGGCGAACTCGTCTGGGCGCGTCCTTCTTCCCTGGAACGTCGGACGCTGGCGACGGCGACGGCTGAGGCGGCGCGGCGCTCCTGAGTCACCTTCCCCCGCTGGCTCGCTCGCTCGCTCTCTGGCCAGCCGGCGCTCGCCGCCGCGCGCGCTCCCGCGATCTCGCGAGCGTCTGACGTCACGAACGCGTTGCGCAAGGAGCGTGTAGCCTTTTGTCAATGCTGCCAACATGCGGAGGCATGCCTTTGCAAGGGATTCTCCGAATTGTTGTTGTTGTGGCATTCTCTCGTTGGCGGACGACTGTCACATGTGCGAGAGGTCGGTTCGGAAGGTTGGTTGTTAACGAAGTCATTGACCCAAAGCAGTAGTGGTTTAGTCAGGATTCCTAATGTTGGCAAGACATATATCGAGTTTTTTATTGGTTTATGTAACATTTTTAACAATACAATCAGATAGTTAATTCTAATATCAGGTCCTGAATGAAGATGTTCATCGCCTTACTAAATACTTTTACAGAGGAAAACGTGAAGGATAAATATGTGAAAAGTTAACTAACGGAAGTTATCTAATTTTCGCCTTTCGTTCGCACCGTGAGTAGAGCCAAAAATAGCTGTAACGAAATGTTTTGCATAATTAAAGGTTGATGACACACTTTTAAAGGCAGTAAATCGAGTGGACTGTGTTTGTCCTCGCACACCTGCAATAAAGTACCTCTACGAATAGGATGGGGGAAGGCACCTGCACGCCCAGAGTTCTGATGCTATCCGAGAAAGCTCTGTCACACTGGAGCCGCGCGGGTGGAGGGGGGAATTCCGGACCGGCGCAGTTGGCAGCACAGCGCGTCGAGGGCCGGTCGGCGCCCGGGCGCCTCGCGTGCCGCGGCCCTGGCCGACACTGTTGCGCGGCCCCGCCTCACGCGGCCCAAATGGCCCAGAAGGCGCGCGCAGCAAACATAGGCAATGGGTGGAAACTGACTAGAAGCCACGCGCAATGTGTTGCTGACGAAAATGAGTACGAGTTCTTAATGAATTTAATCACTTGATTCATATTTGCAAAAAAGTAAATAGTAGAGCTTTCAGTGCCTTATGGCGATAAATGTCCGCAAGTCAACGTTTAAATCATAAAAGAGAAAAAAATCAAATCTTCATTGGCTACATACAGAAGAATTGCATATAGTATAATACAGAAAAAAAGTTGAACCTTCTGGAGTACAGTTAATTCTGCGTATGCTATAACACATTGTGAAGGTAGTTATCAAAAATTACACCGAAAGTTAAGAAGACGTAAAAAAAATGTAATATAAACAATAATAAAAATTATAAAGGGAGATTGTTTCGGTTATTTCGTCTCTTATTTTTTCTTTCTTTTTTTCCCTTTTTTTATTATTTTTTTTTTATTTTACAGTCGAGCGCGTTTAGAGCTTGGTACAATTTATCATTTCGATCGGAAGGAATACATATCTATCGAGTAGAAAAAAACGGGTACGAAAATTGACAATTGTCCTTAAAATCAAATACTCTTTCAAATGTAAATGTCGAATACTTGTTTTGGACGTTCGTAAAAGATTCATCAGATTAGAAGGCGCGGTCATGCGGCGCGATTCGCCCCACTGTGCGGCGGGCGGCGCTCCAATCTTGCGCAAGGTTACGGTCGGCGGGCGGGGCGCGCACTGGGTCCGGGCCGACCGCCGCGCGCGCCGGGCCGCCGGGACCCCGGCGCGGACGCGCTTTCCCTGCCAGCGGCGTGGAAGACGGCGGCGGCGCCGGGGGCCCCGGGCGGCGCCGGCCGCCAACGCTCGCGGCCGATGGAGGGTAACAGAAACGAGAGCCACCTGAGGCGGCGGCGGCGGCGGCGGCGGCGGCGCCGCGCTGCGGGCCGGGCCTGCGCCAGGGAGTGTGCGCGGTGTTGAAGGCAGGCGGCGCCACACGCCTGCAGGAGGGCTGCTTTATGGACAACATGGGAAAAGGACAAAAATCAGGGAATTACATAGCTGTGCAATAGTTAGGAAAATAATTAGAGAATTTATCCAAGAATTGTTAGAAGCCAGAACAAATTTTGAGATCATTATTTTTTGGTCGATTTCTGTTTGTAGAGTTTGCTTTAATTTGTTCTTTGTTACTGTGAAATCAGAGCTGACAAATTAGTTTCAGGTTTGGTTTAATATTTTCTTTAAATAATGTAAAACACTCAACAAATCTTGTCAGTGATTTTTTTTTAATTCTCTGGAAAATCAGAAAAAAACTCAGGGAATTTGAGAAAATGATTCCCCAGCCTGATTCGGTAATTGGCGAGTAGCGAGCGCCCGTTCGCCGTGTCCCGAGTAGTGTAGATGGGTCCTTGCTATTTGCCGAGCGACAGTATTTCGGTGTTCGCCCAACCCAATGCTTGTCGTTCTTATAGGACTGGTCAGAGAAAGCGAACGTTCGCCGAGCACATCAGCAGCTCGGTATTGGGCGACCAGTTTCTCGCAACTTGGTGAATGCTGAATGTGTGGAGTCGCCTTCAGCTGAACCTCGTCAATGGGAAGATTGATAATTGAGAAGATGCCCTGGTATGCCTCTATTATTCAAAGTAGTGCTATCGCCTGCGGTGGCTCTATGGCTACCCCGTTGCCCCTGCAACATCACTGACCGGGATGTCTTGGACTTCGTGTTACTACGACGTCGGATGTTGGACCATGGCTTCGTTGCTGGGATGAATTCAACGCTTGTCTGGAGGAAATTCTTGCAGAAAGCTGCTCTGATAGATAGTTTTTCGGGGTTTATAATTTTAATACCATTCCTTTCTTATCCTTGCCCTTCCTCTTTCCAAACACACACGCGCGCCACATATTCTAGCACATATGTCAAGAGTCCA